TTAGGCACAAGGGTAGCCCCATGTAGAGTGCGTTACAGAAATCCAGACTATTTAATTCAGGTGCAGCATTTCAATTAGTTTGGCCTTCTCTGTTCTTGATTTTCTTAGTCCTTGTGAGTGTACAAGGTTGTATGTTTTTGGATGATTGTTGATTTCCTTTTGTAAAATAAACTAATTAGTAGCCTGCCTCTGGAATTCCTTGTGTCTCTGGATTTGGTATACATAGGGACTCATTTCCATGGCTAAATAATCCAGCCACTATATTGAGCTAGTTCATAATTCCCTAAGCATACAGCGGCATTTGAATGTCCCTTTTGGACAGAGTACAAACCCATGGTTACACTAAGGTGGGCTGGGATGTGATGAAGTGGATCTTAGCATCAGATAGAGTCTTCTTCATGGCTGTTCTGATATCATACCATAGGCAGGTTAAGACTTTTTAAAATTTTATTTTAGCAGACCTTTGAAGCCTGACTGCTCAGGGAGACTGAGACTGGCAGAACTGGGCTGTACTATCTGTGTTTTGTTTATTTGTCATTTTAAATAGTTATCTTACTAAACTGGTTTTACTTTTGAGGGTATTAATTATATTTTTAGCTTTGGTATTTGGTATATTTTTTAGCAATGTTGCTTTTAACTATTTAAAGTCGCTCTGCTTCCCAAATGAGAGAAAAAGTGAAATATTATTATAAAATAACTGAATGACTGAATTAATGAATACAACAACAACAACCTGTCTAAAACTTGGGTGAAATAGGATTGAGGTTTGTGAATTTCATTAACTCATTGTTTGCTTTCACCCACATAATGCCAGAACTGACAGAATCAGCTCTAGCAATTTATGTTTCACAGTTTCACAAATAAAAGAAAAAGAGAGAAGCCCCTGTCCACTAGGACTTTACAACTTAAATTTAACAAATTAGAAAACTATGTATTCCCAAAGGTTTAACACACACACACCCCAAATATTGTGCTTTAAACAAATAAATGACAGGCAGAAATTCAATAAGTGAAACTGGTTTTCCTAGTACAGTACAGGCAAGAATGATCAAGAAATTTCATCTGTTAAAATCTGTCTCCCATTAAGCTGTTCAAAGGAATGGGTGGTAATCTACACTGACATGTAATACTGCACCAGTAAAAAGCTCCTCTTCCACATATTTATTCAATAATTATTAGTTCAACAAACAGGTGGCTTTCTCTCTCTGAAATAAACAAACATGCAACCAAATATGAGTAGCAGTGAATCAGCTGCGTGACCAAAGCTAATCTGGAAGCATGGAAGAAATCTTCCATTTTTTGTGGTTCAATGCAGAAAAGGATAAGTAGAAATATCACATTGATTTTAATTTTGTATGAAGGAGCAGTGGTAGCCTTGCTGGATTTAAGATAAACATCAAAAGCCATTTGGGGTAAATTCTCAAGGAGGTCAATCAAAAGGGCACAAAAATGCATGCAAACTGTTGAGATCCCAAGATCTCTTAATCAGACTAAAAAGAAGAAAGTTGGGGGAGCAACTTGATCTTAAAGTCATTCAGTCTTGAGATGCAATGGAGAAAGAAAAGTTTTCAGACTGAAATGTGGCTCATCAGATGATGTGATGATATTAGGTTAAGGGAATAGTCCCTAGCTTTGGTGAGAGCATAAAAAACAGAAAAGCTGGGTTCTCCATTCTAAACATTCAAAAACCCACTGTAAAGTCAGGACTGTGTCCAGCCTATGTGAAGTTCACGTACTTCTTTGGTAGCAAGTGCCATCAATTCTGCGCTCATATCATACATGCCACATTTCTGAGTTTATAGGGCCAGTAATGAAGAAACCTGCCAGGAAAACCCCATGATAGGTTCACCTTAGGATCACCATAAATTGGAAACAACTCGGAGGCACACAACATACATACAGTCTTAGAATATTAAGCCAGTGGTGTAGTGGTTTGAGTGCTTAACTGTGACTCTAGAGACCAGGGTTCGACTCCCCATTCGGCCATGGAAACCCACTGGGTGACTTTGGGCAAGAAACAATCTCTCAGCTTCAGAGGATAGCAATGGCAAATACCCTCTGAAGAAATCTGCCAAGAAAACTCTGTGATAGGGTCACCATAGGTTGGAAACAACGTGAAGGCACATAAAAACTACAACCTTAGATATACCATAGTGGAACCTCAAGCTTTCAAGAGAAAGACAAGGTGAAAAAAAATCTACTGAAACCCTTAATTACTGATCATGGGCCATATGCACAGGTTAGCATACTGTTGATATATGCCTTCAAAATGTTTCAAACTTATGACAACTCTCCGGTGAAAATATCCCTTTGGCAAGCTTTGGGCAGAGTGGATTTGTCAATGTCTTCCTCAGAGTGGATTTGTCATTGCCCTCCTCAGAGGCTGAGAGTGTGTGACTTGTCCAAGGCCACCTACTGGATTTCCATGGCTAAAGTTTGCCAGTGATGTCTTCTTAGGTTGAGAAAGTGTGATTTTGCCCAGCATCATGAGTTTCCATGGCTGAACAGGGATTCAAACCCTGGTCTCCTGGAGTCCTAGTCCAGCACTCAAACTATTGCATTATTCTGGTTCTCTATAGGATAGCTACCACACTGGAATAATAATGTATTTTTGTCATGAATGGGCAACACAATGCTATTTATTTTGCTATGTAAGTATGAGGGCTGCTGTTTGGATTTTCAGCCTCAGGCACCAAAATGTCTCAAACTATCTTTGTGCTAGTTAAAGAAGATTTTCAAGTCAAATTCAGTCATTAATCCAGCCTGCTGAGCCCATCAAACACGCATCTGCATATGTGCTTATTTGTCAATATAGTATTTTCTACATTATGCTAGTGCGTGTGTGTGCACATCTTGTTGTTGGTGTAGCACAGCTCAAAATAGTTTTCCTTCCTAGATGGGCTGTCAAGGCTTATTTGGGTAGAAACCCAAAGTCTCCACTTGAAGTTTATCTACGTGGGAATATCAAAGCTGTCATCGCTCTTGACTGAACACTCACTGGGGCATAAAGCGATTCCTCTAATTTCCTTCTAAACATTATCCCAGATATCACTATCTGAAGATTATAATGGGCTTTATATGGACAGGTCTTAGATTTCCACAATAAAGAGCAACAAGACAAAAAGTTTCATAGCAGAGGGCTGAGCATGGCGGAAGCAGATCTACGTGAGCAGCATATTATAGGAAGTAGAATACTAATCTAGTCCAACCAGAACTTGAAACATTATTTTTACAAAGGAATGCACTCTGTGTTACTATTTTTTTTAACAAAATAACATTACTCATTATTTTAAGGAGAGCATGTAATTAACACATGGAATATAAGTCTTCAACTTCCCCAAGCTGTATGTCTAAGAGACATGGTAGCTGGGGATAGTAGGAATTATATAGTTCAATACAACTGGAGGGCATCAAGTTAGAAAAGCAAGCAGTACAGAACAATGCATAGATTATGCATTACCCATATTATAATCATACCCCAAATATTCTATGAAGAAGTGATGAATTCTGCACCTAAACAAATTACACTATTCCCATGTTTCCTTGTTTTGCATACTGTATAAGGCTTTTTCTCATCACAGGAAAGGGAATAAGGTATGCAGGGCACTGAGGCCTGTATACAGGGAAATTTGATTTCATTTGAATTATATAAAAATAATTATATCCCCCGTATCTGGGGATCTTGGGAAAAGGTATAGAAAAGTGTTAATATGGCTCTGAAATGATGCCAAACCCTGCACCGATCAAGCCTCCAACAGGTGGGTTGTTGCACAACCTGGGTCTCATACCAGCGAGAAAGCCTCTTCCTTCATCTCCTTATGAAGCATTGCTCCAAATGTAAATATTTCCTAAAATGTTAGGTCTCTCACAGAAAACCCACCAACAAGGGATCTAGTGGCACCTGAAACATTAACATGTTTGTGGCTTGCAACTCATTTCATAGAATCACAGAATCATAGAATCATAGAGTTGAAAGAGACCACAAGGGCCATCCAGTCCAACCCCTCTGCCATGCAGAAACTCCCAATTAAAGCATCCCCGACAGATGGCCATCCAGCCTCTGCTTAAGGACCTCCAAGGAAGGAGACTCCACTACTCTCCGAGGGAATGTGTTCCACTGTCAAACAGCCCTTACTGTCAGGAAGTTCCCCCTAATGTTGAGGTGGAATCTCTTTTCCTGCAGCTTGCATCCATTGTTTCTGGTCCTAGTTTCTGGAGCAGCAGAAAACAAGCTTGTTCCCTCCTCAATATGGCATCCCTTCAAATATTTAAAGAGGACTATCATATCTCCTCTTAACCACCTCTTCTCCAGGTTAACATCCCCAACTCCCTAACTCATTCCTCATAGGGCTTGGTTTCCAGAACCTTCACCATTTTATTTGCCCTCCTTTGGACATGCTCCAGTTTCTCCACATCCTTTTTGAATTGTGGTGCCCAGAACTATACACAGTATTGCAGGTGAGGCCTCACCAAAGCAGAATAGAGTAGCACTATTACTTCTCTTGATCTAGACACTATACTTCTACTGATGCAGCCTAAAATTGCATTGGCATTTTTAGCTGCTGCATCACACTATTGACTCATATTCAACTTGTGATCTACCTGGACTCCTAGATGCCTTTCACACATAGTCTCACTCAGCCAGGTGTCCCCTATCGTATATCTGTGCTTTTCGCTTTTCCGTCCTAAGTGCAATACCTTACATTTCTCTGTGATGATTTTCATTTTGTTAGCTTTGGCCCAGCTTTCTAGTCTGTTCAAGTCATTTTGAATTTTGATCCTGTCCTCTGGGGTATTAGCTACTCCTCCTAATTTGGTGTCGTCTGCAAATTTGATAACTATGCCCCCAATACCGTCATCCAAGTCATTGATAAAGATATTGAATAGCACTGGGCCCAGGACAGAGCCCTGTGGCACCCCACTGGTTTCTTCTTTCCAGGTTGAAAAGGAGCCATTGTTGAGCACCCTTTGGGTTCGGCCAGTCAACCAATTACAAATCCAAGTAACAGTTACTTTGTCTAGCCCATATTTTACTAGCTTGTTTGCAAGAATGTCATGGGGAAGCTTGTCAAAGGCCTTACTGAAATCAAGATATACTATATGTACAGCATTTCCTTCATCTACCAAGCTGGTAACTTTATCAAAAAAAAGAGATCAGAGTTGTCTGGCATGACTTGTTTCTGATTTGACCTCACAAAGGAAGAGGTATATTTCAGTGATCAAGGTCCTAAAGTAATACAAGGCTTCAAATATCAATAGCTTAATTTTAAACCTAGACCAGATGTGTACTGGTAATCAGTGCAGTTCCTTTAAAACTGGTGTAATGTGGATTCTAGGAGCTGGAGTAGTGGTTTGAGAGTTGGAGTATGACTCTGGAGCACAAAGTCTGAATACTCACATGGCCATGGAAACCCACTGGGTGACCTTAGGCAAGTCACACTCACTCAGCCTTAGGGAAAGGCAATGGCAAACCCATGCTTAATAAGTCTTGCCTAGTAAATGGTGTCACCATAAGTCAGAAACAACGTCAAGGCACAAAACAACATGTTGTTTCTATGTCATATTGCAGAGAGAAATATAGCTGCTGCATGTGGTACTAGATGCAGCTCATGTCTTCAAGAGCGTGCATACAGAGACCACATTGCAACATGCCAGATAGGAAATTTCCATTACATGGACCTATCTGACTTGGTTATTCTTTCCAGGAATGGCTGCAGCTGGTGGACTGACCAAAACTGGCAATGGCACTTTAGGCCATTGAGGCCACCTGAGCTTGTAATGACAAAGATGGACCCAGTCTCATGCCATGCACCTGCTCCTTCAAGGGGAGATTTACAGATGAAGTACTCATCTGAATTTCCATAATCTGAATGAAAGGCAAAATGTATTATACAGCAACTTCCATGAAGTGAGCAGGGGCTTTTTATTCTCCCTTGCCTGCTGAACATTCATGACAGTCACAGCATGACAATCCTCAGCTCCTAGGATCTAAACTCTTTGTTTAACATCCACAACATGGTGGTATTGGGGGATTTCCTGTATTTTTGTGGTACGATAAAATAAAAACATAAAAAATTCAGATTATATGTTTATTTTGTCATACCACAAAAATATAGGACAGTAAGAGTGGTTCAGCAATGGAAGCAATTACCTAGAGCAGTGGTGGGTCTCTTTCACTGGATGTATTCAAAAAAAGGCTGGACAGCTACTTGCTGGGGATGCTCTAGGATTTCCTATACTGAGCAGGGAATTGGACTGAGCAATTCTCTTCCAACTCTATGATTCTATGACTTGGAGGGCAGTGTCAATCCCAGATCGGCATTCATTCCAATCTAAACTTTTTCACAAACAGACAACCCACAGAAATCATAAAGACTGGATCTTCATTTATTAAGATGCAAACGAGAGTTAACTTATACACCACCTCCTGATATACAGAAGAAACAGATATGAATACAATAATCCAGACAAATTTAATCCACCCCCATGCCATATTAGAACCATCCAGTATTCTTGTTCAATGCCTATTATAATCAAATGTTCCAGATTTTTGGTGGAAAGGGATACTTGATACAAGATGCATCTAGAACAATTATTTATGAGCATTTGGAAAAGGATTCTTCCACTGAGTGTCTGCAGATAAGGAAAGAAAATTAAAAAACACAAGATTATGGCATAAAAAGACTGGATCAATTTTTTAAATTGTGTGAATTATAGCATTCTAAAGTAAAATTCATTTGTACTTCAGCTGCCATTAAATAAGCCACTACTGTTGGTAAACCAGATTTCTCACTCACTATGGAATTATAAAAGTGCCTGAAAATACATCTTCACTGTCACACTGCATTAAACTGGGTCAGTATTTTACACTGATCAAAACAAAATGTGTTATGGGCTTTTAAAATGTAAACATAATTGAGATTACCAAGCAAAATCAAAGGAGTGCATCAATACCTTTTGGGAAATATCTACACTGAAACCAGCT